AAGCTTGTCTCCCTTCATGATTTCGCTCTTGGCTGCCGCTGCCGTCTTGTCTCCCAAGCTTGTCTCCCTTCACGATTTCGCTCTTGGCTGCCTCTGCCGGCTTGTCTTCCAAGCTTGTCTCCCTTCGTGATTCGCTTTTGGCTGCCGCTGCCGCCGTGGTTCCCAAGCTTGTCTCTGTTCCTGATTTCGCTCTTGGCTGCCGCTGCCGCCTTGTCATATTCTCGCCTGCCTTTGATGCGGATGCTGTTATATGATGATTAGGTCTTGTTTACCTTTTCCATCCTTTTCCCCGCTTTGAGTGAAATGTCTCCCAAGCTTGTCTCCCGCTCTTGCCATGCTATCCTTTTCTTGAAGTGCTATCTGGGGTCTATGCCGGTATAATTTTTGGAAAATTGGAATTTTGGAAAATTGGAATTTTGGAAATTGCCTTTGGGGGAGGGGGGGGTTGAGGCAGAATAGTATTCTTTCAGTGGCACAAAAATCAATAGAAACGCAATACAAATATAGAAACACAATACAAACAAAATGAAACAATGCAAAAACGCGCCGCTCAGAGCGCTCCTTTCTGTTTCCTTTTCGGGCAAGCGTTGGATGAATGACCAGATTGGATTTCGGCGGCGTGGCAGCGATCTCTCTGTTCAGTTGGGACGGAGGACATACGTCAGGCACCAAAAATCAATTTCATGTCACATCCTTCGCTCCTCACACTTTTATTTCTTGTCCTCACGTGGTCAGCTCCCCGCTGATTGAGCACCATGACCAGCATCATGTTCGCACTTGAAGAATAATTCCCCAAAAGGTTTACTGTTAGGGCTTCTCAATTCTTTCTTAAGATGTGTCCGCCCGCTCTGTACTTTGCAATCCTTTACATTACATTTGTCTCCCAGCTCTGGGCTGCTGTGGCCGCCTGCCTTGCAATCCTTTGTCTCCCAGCTCTGGACGTCGCAAGCTCTAGTTTCGTTTTTGAAAAACACAAACTGTTTGGGGTCTACGGTGGTGTAATCTCCGACTTATCTCTTTGTCTCCAGTACACTCTGGGTCCTCTGGCCGCGCGTGAATTTGCTTCCCACTCGTCTCCAGCACACTCGGCTGCATGATTTTACACTTGTTCCCCACTTGTCTCCCAGCCCGCTCTATGTCGCCTGGGCCGCGTGAGCGTTCCTCGGCTGATGTTTCCTTTGTCTTCTCCGGATACACTTGGCCGGATGTTTTTACACCTGTCTCCACTTGTCTCCCTGCTTGTCTCCCTTCTTGCTGCACTTGTCCCCACTTGTCTCGGCCTACTCTGGGCGCACGTGGGCGGATGTTTTTACACTTGTCTCCACTTGTCTCTTTGCTTGTCTCCCTGTTTGTACGCTCTCGGACGGACGGATGATTTTACACTTGTCTCCCTGCTTGTCTCCCTTTTGCTTCACTTGTCTGCACTTGTCTCGGCCTACTTGTTACACTTGTCTCCACTCCACTTGTCCCCCTGCTTGTCTCCCACATGTCCGTACAACTCGGCATATTCAGTAGATTTGCGTATGTTCTGTTTTCGTCTGATTTGCCAGTTCTGACCTTGAGCCAATTGAGCCAAGTGCTGAAACAAGCCCAGAAGGTCCGAGTTGATCACCGCGAGCTGGAACGGTTTGAGCCGTCGACTGTTTGACAGTTCGTCTTTGTGGCTTACTTCACAAACGCACAAACTGCTTGGAGTCTTCGCCGGTATAATTTACTTACAGTACTTGAAAATTTTTGAGAGACGATCTCCACCTGTCCAGTAATTTCCCAAGGTTGGGAGTATGTTGTGACACTGGGTGCTGATTCGAGTGTATGGCAGAAGCGGCCCGGCCTTGACGTGCCCGGAACCGTTGTCGATGATCACCGCTGGCTGACAAGGTCAGGCAACAGCAATTCTATCAACAAACTTGACTATAGCACAAAGCAAACCACCGTTGCACATGACCCGCCTTTTCATAGATCATTCCATGTGCAAAGTCACTTCTGAAGCGACCATGGGGCTGCAGAATCCCAAAGGCATCCCGTCCACAAGATGGTATGGGCTTAGCTACAAATCTACAGCCGTGGCTCTAACAACCAGACCCAGAATTCATGCAATAGTTCTCAGTTCTTCCATGTTCTTTTGATCAAGAAGCCTACAAGATGCAAACTTGCATGGCAAAGGCGGGGGGTAAGCCCTAAACGATCAGAACTCGCTGCATTTGGTCCAAGATCTGGTTTGCAGCGCAGGCCGCACAGTGTCCAAGCTGATGTCAACCCCTTGGAGCACATGTCAGGTATCCAATAGCGGAGCAGTTTATGACACACCACTGCGCTCGGAGTGAAGGTTTGGTGCAGGCCCTGTGCCCATCTTTGACGAAGGAGTGAGCGTCTAAGGATGAATCTGGATTCAATTTACTGTACTTGTCCATGTCCGTGAAAGAAGACTACTGGAAATAGCACCACGCTACTTTCAGCCAAACTGCCCAGGCAATCCATCTTTTGGCTTGGGATACCTAGTCAGTGGTCCTGCTACCATCTACGTCAAAGGTAGGAAGGATGTTGTTCCAATCAAGCTGAGCCAGGACAAAGGCAATAAGGTGAAGAAGCAGACTTGATGATGATTGTTCCGGGCTGGTTCCGTACACGGCAAGGCCAGCGAAACTGTCATTTGGAGCTTGCAATTGGAAACCTTTGCCCTTTCAAACTTACTACATTGACTATTGAAGCCGATGCTGAGCTATTAACGCTCCAGTTCCCTCAAGCAATCCGATCACATTGGAACATTTTGCAGAAGAGTGCCACGTCGAATACCTCTGCTTATCGAAATCAACCACCTTCAGCCAATTAGCTTGGCTGCCAGCAGCCAACCAACATCCAGAACACTGGATGCTCGCTTTGCTCTTAGCAGGCACTTGCCAAGCCAGCACACTCCAGCAGAACATCCTTGCTTTAGACTTTGACAAAGGCTTGCGCAAGGATTCACATTGCTGATATATCAAATGATACATGCAACTTTCCTGTCTGCGCCTTGACTGCTACAAGGGGCAAGCTTCCATTGATTAGGCCCGTGGATTTTGGGTTGGTTTGAAAAGGGACCAGCAATCTCTAAACCAGATGATCTTCCATTTTCATCCATTGTCCACGATTGCCTTTGCACACACGAGGGCAGATTTGAGGACTCAATCGCAAATGTAGCCAATCAGCAATCGAAATCCACCTAAAGCAGTCACAATGTGCAGTGTGACTTTGCAATACAGCCCCAATTGCTTGAGATTGTTTGCTATCTGAAACATGTTCAACGTGTCTGATTTCTTGGCTCTTGGCATGGAAGATCATTGCTTCCTTGCATAAACTCAAACGCACCAAATCTTTTGCTGATCGAGACTATCCCACTAGGCCGCTAGGAAGCTAGGTAGCTAGGTCGCTTTGTAGGTTTCGGTTGGCTTGGCCAAGCGTCCCGAATTATTGCGAACTAATTCCTGCATGTGTCCATGAGTCCGCCTTTGTGCTCACGTGACAGCAGCCATAAAGCGGTGAAACGGCAAACTGTGAAACCCTGATCTTGATTAAGCGCTTGCAAAATACAAGCTTGCCTTCACAGAAACTGCTTTTGCGGGGTCGCTTGACAAACTAAAAAAAATAAGTATGTATACATATATATAGAGAGAGAGTTCATTATAGTTCCGGGCTGAAACATGACACCTTCTGCCAACTTGCACCCCCGAGCAGGCTGTTGCAGGCTGTCAATTCTAGAAACTGGAACATTTTCAGTGCTGAGCTCGCTGCCAGCCCGAATGTTGCAGTTAAATAGTGTTTGCAAGGATTCGCTCACAATGCGATGCTCCCCGAAAGATTCAGGTGCTACCTATCTCCTGTTGATCAAGACATCCAAGCCATGTCACGATGCCAAAAAAGGAAGCAACACAATTGTCTCAGTCGGCTAGAATGGTGCACTTCTGTCCCGCTGTCCTCGGAGGTATGGTCTAACTAGCCTCAATTAGGCCTCTTCGACGACGCTTTTTTTCACCTGCTTGACAAGCGTTGCTCGTGCAAAACTATGCAAAACTGTACATCATTGGTCATGACAATGATAGGCCTGGAGGGCAAAGATGACAAAAATTGCAGTCTTTTCCACTGTCGCAGCCCTGGAAGCACAATTCAAGTGCAAACTGCTGTCACTTGTTCGAGCTCTGTTTTTTGAACTCGAGGTCGTTGATTTGCTTCAACATGCCGCAATGCCTGCTTCCCGTTCTTCTTGAACACAAATGCACAGGGCTTACATGTGCCAAGTTCGTGGTCAATTGATCCGACCTAGGGTTGTCAGCTTGGGAGAATCTAGTTTCAGAAAGAGATTTGATTAGAGGCTAGCTAGGGTGCCAACAGACGGACACTTCTCACTGCCAATCTCCTCCACAATCACTGGGGAATGTGATGGAATGTAGGGGGTTGTGTCTCATTACGGAACCTCTCCATCCAGCCACATCAATACGGTACTAGCACTAAGAAACATCACAAGCTCTTCAGCATCACAAGCTACCATATTGAAATTTTATGGAGTTTGATTTCTTGAACAAGTTGCACTGTTCAACTTCGGAATTGCACACTGCCTCCCTGCAGAATGGAAACGACGGGGCACGCTGCGGAGCTGGTGGTATGGGAACCTGAACTCCAAAGCCCGTTACTGAATACAAGACTCAGGAAAGTGGCTAGTAAAGAATGCTTGCCTGGGAAAACACCGAAGGTGGAAATGAGGGCGCTTGTTGCGGTGGTGGTGGTGCAGTGACCTGCAAAAGATGAATCTGTTCGACTGTGAAGATGTGGTAAGTGATGGAAAGCGCGCCTCCCGAATCATCGGCGCTTGGAGCTGAGGTGGCGCAACCAACGGCGACATCACACGTGGAATGGAGAAAGCTGTGGGTGCACCAACCTGCGCAAATGGGAACGTGAACCAATCAACAAATCCATTGGATCAAATGTTCTCTTTCTTTGCAGTGCCTGTGGACATCGCACAGGCATTGGGGCGGTGGTTTGCTGGAACCTTGAGATTCCACAGAACACGAAAACGAATCATCTGGGGTAAAGGGACTGCCCCGTGAAGTTGGAAACCCTTTCTCTTGAGTTTGTGTTCCGCAATCAATCCCACTGTTATGCAAAAAATACCCAAGAAACCTTTTAAGTTGGAGGTTCCTCCACCAAAACGCGCGGGCAACAGACCTGCCTACCAAACGGTTCCTTGTGATGGAACTCCTTGAGGGTTTGCGGGTTTGCAAACAATCATCTCTCAAGAGACCGTGGATCCTTGGGTCGCTCACGCGAAATCAAGTCGCCTTAAACACAAGGTGGACACTGGCCCCTCCTATTGTTGCTCGAGGGTTTGGCAAGTTCTTCAATCTTTGCCCCAGGGAAGGAAATAACATGAAATAACACGCAAGTTCCTCCAATGTGCTTGGCTATGGTGAACTTCAATCTGATGGCTCAACGGCATTGCGTTGGAAACAAAACCTCATTTCTCTGTGGAGGTTCTCTGGTGGGAGACGTGAGGATGGGTTTGCGGTGATGACTTGATCGAAACCTCTGTGTTTTCAGTTTTCCCTGCCATGCCGCTATGTTCAGCTTCGTTCGCCAAGGAACATCCAAGATGATCCAGCAGCACTTACCAGGCCAAGCGTCAGTGCCTGATCACATATGAAGAGGCACACAACTCAATTGTTTGGTTGGCAACACCCCACACGCCTGCTTAAATGCCTCGGGTCGGGATTGTTTCAGTGGCTTTGCAGGCACACTCCAATTGTTCTCCTGCAGGACCAACCCTGACCACTCCACCTCGACTCACCTCGACGTGACAAACGAAAATTTGCACAAGTCCTCCTGACTAACACTTTCCAACTCTGGGTGGATCTCATGCTCCCAAACCTGCAGTAGGCAGAGATACTCGAAGATATTTGCATAGCACATGCACTAAAAAGGCCTCAGTCGAAGTTTCACAAATATCTTCTGATTGATCTGGCTGCTGCTTGGGGACCTGCACTTGGCAACAGCAACGGTGAACAATATTGTTTGGCCTTGCAAAATCCTTGCTGCGGTGCATGTGAAACAATCTCGCGGGAAACGCCTGGGCATCTGCTTTCGAAGCACCTGCAACAATCACCAAGTTCGACCCTGGCCCTCCACTACCAAACATTCAAACTCCGGCCGTCCGAGCGCGCTGAGACCATCCGGCTGACAGGGCATGAGCAAACCTCGGCCGTGGCCCACAAAGTGATCCATAAAGTCACGCAGTTGCGCCGCCAACCGGTCATGGCAACACATTCGGTTCGACGGCCGTACAAGCACACACACTGGGTAGGTTTATTGAGTAAAACGATTGAACGATGTGGAAAGTTCTGAGTGGAACCTCCTGACTCCACAGTCTACGTACAGGTGCACGAGCAGCGACACCGTCTGAGCGACAAATATCTCCAAAAACGAAGATTCAAATCTTTCAAGTCCATGAAGTTACATTCTGTAGAGGGCTCTAGGAAAGCCAAAACGACCGAAAAACCAAGGAATACCAAGGTTGAACATGTGTAAAGCAGTCTGATCATGACCGGAACGTTGAAAAGTTCCAAGTTGAGACTCTGAACGTGCAAAGTTCCAAAACCCAATGTGTGACTGCTGACTCACACGGACGCAATGGCCAAAGTTTTTGTTTTAGTTATACACGGTACATGGGGCCAAAGAAGAAATATGTGGCGATCATCCCGTGCGTGCATCCCGCGTCCAGATTGCATATCACAGCAAACTTGAAATGTTTTCCTTGAGCGATGACTTCAAGAATGCCCACCGCTCCCCGGCACTTACATCACATCTACTCATGTACAATCTACTGTGCATCTGTAAAGTCAGTTGTCGCTTGTGATCGCGGCTTTTACACACACTTGAGATATTGTGTAGGGACACTGATGCGGTTCGCCACACGCCAGCCTAAGTGAAAACCTAAGGTACCAGGGTAAAGTAAGTCAGGGTAGGTTGGAGGCCATCACGGTGGCTGGTTTCATGCGAAACAAGACTCACAGCAGCAAGGCTCTCAAGGTTGGAGGCCATCACTAGTAGGGTGGAGGCCACCGCAGCAAGGTTGGAGGCCCTCGCTACAAGGTTGGAGGCCAGCGAAATGCAAAACACGAAACGCAAGTTACGGTTTGTAACAGAACCACATGAACCACCATGAAAGCAAACCGCAGCGAGAACAACAGGTAAACAGTTTGGCGGGTATGTTTGCACGGGTCCGAGAGGAGGTCTTCGTTGGCCACCGCTCCTCTAAAACCCCAGTGGCCCCCCGCTGAAAACAAACTAGACGACGGTTGGCCCGAGAGCGAGAAAGGTGATTGTCAAGTAACTCCGAGTAAGGAAATAGTTAAAATCGAGTTGTCCAAGAGCCATGACTTCTTTATACAATCTGTTATTGAGTAAGAAGTTTGGAAGAAATTAGATTCTATTGAGAGAAAAGATATGTAAAAAGAGAAAAAGAGAGGGCGGATGTGAAGGAGTGACAGTGTGGATGTGCAGGTGTGATATAGATGCGCAGATTGTAAATGTACAGAGGTGAGGGTGCGTAGACGTAGATGCGCAGATGCAACGGCAGCGCAACGTTGTGGGTCAGGAGTGCCATTTCTCGCTGTGCAAGCGCAACGCTGTGCAAGTGAATCAAACTGATATAAAGCACACCAGCGACACGCCGCGCTTACACCAGCATGTTTCGCGCTTCCCCAGTGGCACGGCGCCACGCAAACGCACTTTCCACCAAGGCCGCGCAAATCCGCATGGTACTGCGACATCACGGACGTAATTTCGCCAAACGGTCTGCCCGCACACTAGAAGCAATCCTATCACACGATACCGCCAATCATCCCGCTCACCTGCGACACGCCGCGTTTGGAGTTTGGACCAACATGTTTCGCGCTCCCAAGTGGCACGGCGCCACGCAAACACGCTTTCCTCCAAGGCCGCGCAAATCCGCATGGTACTGCGACATCAGGGACGTAATTCGCCACACGGTCTGCCCGCACACCACAAGCAATCCTATCACACGATACCGCCAATCATCCCGCTCACCAGCGACACGACGCGTTTACACCAGCATGTTTTGCGCTCCCCAGTGGCACAGTGCCACGCAACACTCCCCGCCTCGCAAATCCGCATGGCACTGCGACATCACGAACGTAATTCGCCGCGCGGTCTGCCCACACACTAGAAGCAATCATATCACACGATACCGCCAGTCATCCCACTCACCAGCGACGCGCCGCGTTTACACCAGTGTGTTTCGCGCTCCCCAGTGGAACGGCGCCACACACACGCACTTTCCACCAAGGCCGCGCAAATCCGCATGGCACTGCGACATCACGGACGTCATTTGCCATACGGTCTGCGCAACCCTTTCACACGATACCGCCAATCATCCCGCTCACCAGCGACACGCCGCGTTTACACCAGCATGTTTCGCGCTCCCCAGCTTAGATGTGCTGGGGGTTTGTTAAATCATTATAACTACTTAACAAGTTTAAGAAGGTTAAGGTAAGGGTTTAGAAAGGTTAGCTACACCTTTAACATGTTTAGGCTAACCATCTAGCTAACTAGTTAGCTAAGGGCTTAGCAAGGTTAACACTAACATATAAATGTGAAAATGCTTAAGTTTTTTCAATGTGAATTCTAATTGTTTATTTCAAACTTCTACTTTTTTGCACATCCAGACTCACTGTGATGTGGCACCACAGTTTTCACTCAGGAAGCACACCTAGCCCATTTCAACAATGTTGTGGACATAGGGCAGAACACTCATACTTTGACAGGGGTTTTTGTTTTAACACAAAATCAACATTTTAAAAACAAAACAGCAAAAAACACAACATGCAGTTCACAGGAATGTTAATCTTCCCTTCATCCTCTGAAGGAAAATATTGCATGACATGTGTTGACCAGAAACTTTGCCAGCTGTGGAACAGCAAACACAAATTGATTGAGCCATCATGCTTGATGTTTGCATGCTACTAATTTTTGTGAAAAATGGAAACATAAAACAGTAAATATATCTTCTTTAGCTTGTAGAAAGAATGCTTTGGTGAACCAGCCTGCATGGCTACTTACAATCCAAAAGCAAATTGCATGGTTGTGACGCATGCAGCCCTATGGGGCTCCAAACCATGTGGGTTTAAGTTTCTACACACCACATGCAGCCCTATAGTGGCTCGAAGGACTGCACACCTCAAGCTCCAACCCATGCAGCCCCAAGGCTCCAAGACATGCAGACCTAAGGCTTCAAAACATGAAACTCCAAACTAAACTCACCAAACCACTAATATAATGACATTTCCAGCCTTTCCTGCTTAATTGTTTTTTGATTAACATTGCAAGCTAGGAATGCTGCTGGAACCCAACAGATGGCACATAACCATTGGTGGCATTGGCCACCAACCACACCACACCCCAAGCCAATGCACAGTTGTTTTTGAATCACTTTGCTTGGGTTATGTGAGGAGGCAACAATGCTGTGACAAGTCCATTGTCTGCTTTGTTGAAAACAACAACAGCTGCCAAGAGATCTAAACCCGCAATATGCAGATCATGTGGACTTGGGGTCCACTTGGTCACTTTCTTCTCCATATTGGCTTCCTTGAAAGAGAAAGCTTGCACAATTGCAAACTGTAAGCCATCACACTGCAATAAACCTTCCAGATACCCTGCTCCAAAAGGAAAAGGTGGGTGACTTGAGGGCAGCTTGTAGAGGACACAGCCACCAACTTTGCAAACATGCCCACAGCCCAGCCTAGCAGTATTGCTAGTTTGGCACTGGTGGTGGGTCTTGACAATTCCTTGGCTGACCAAATAAGCTTTCAGTTTGCTTGAAGCTGGGTGAGGGGCAACAAAAAAGGCACCAAACTTGTACAACTCTTGCTTCAAGTCTGCCAGATGGTCACAGGTAAGCTCCTTCAGGAGTGTATCTTCATAACAACTTGTGTTGTAAAGGCCTGAGCCATACTTTCTGGCCACCTTGTGTTTCCTTTCTAATGACCAGCAACTTGGTAAGCCAGAGTACATCTGCATGCTTTGCTCAAAATGGAGACACCAATGAAATTTGGGCCTCAGTTTGCCACCATAGCCAGCACTCACTGTCAATGACAATGCTTGTTCAACAGCTTGTAACAAGTAGCCAGGAGGTGGCAAAAGATGAATAGAAGAAACCAGAATGTCCATGACCTTGCACCAAGCTATGTAAACATCCTTGTGGGCTTGGCCTTCAGGGAACACACAGCAACTTTGCAAGAAGTAGGCTACAACAGCATCTCTGATGCTGAGGCCACAATTTTCTCACCCTTTCTGCGTGCTTCGACCTTCTTGCTGGTGAAAAGCTTGTGCAGGGCACCACTGCCAGGCAAATTACCAGGCCAAGCCCAAAGTTGCAAATATTGGCCCAGGTTACCCCACATGTTTGGCATGCATGAAGCTGCTAGTGCTTCTATCACCCATGCCATGATGAAGCAAAGAATGCCACTGGAACACATTGCGTGCATCCAGTCATGGACATATCCAGTGACAGATCTGAGCAGGCCCAAGGCAGCTAGTGGCTGACTGATCAACAAAGCTCTGCTGGAATATGTAAAAGTTGGCCTTGGTTTCAACACCCTGCCTCATTTCTAACAATTTCCAAGAATCCAGAATTTCTTGGTCAGTGCAAAGATCCAGATCTTTGAAGACAATATATTTGGAGCTGATTTTGTAATCTTCCTCACAAGTGTCTTTCCCTTGACTCACCCAAAAAATGTTTTTGCATAGCTGGCACAGCCTACTGCCACTGTCTTGGCGATTGGCAAATGTTTGTCTCTGTGAAGCCCCATCTTGGAAATGGAACCCTAGAGTCCAATGCAACCTCAATGATTGATTGCCATGCTTCAAAAGTATGCCAGCCAAAGGGGATCCATGTTCATGAGTGAACATGTGTTCAAGCAGTTGCCTGGTCACTTGTGAAATACCTGCTTCAATGTCTGCAACTTCATGGCTCCTGATGGCCATCAAGGTGAACCAATGCTTCTCTTCTGTGAGAAGCTTAGGGGTAAGCTCTAGCCAGCTGAAGTACAAGCACCAGGTCTTTCTACTGGTGCTGTTAAGCTGGTTGCCAGGATGTAGTTCATCTGCATATAGTACTCCACGCCATGGGGCATGATATGTGGATGGCTTTCTTTGATGCATTTCAAGCAACAACTGG